TGTGTCGGTGGGACATCCCCGCAGGTGGGTGCCTTCTCTGGTTCACCGGGATGATGCTACCTGACCATTCCTGCCACGGAGCCACTGCACACACTGAGCCTGGGCAAGCGGACTTCAGAGCTGGTGACCCCGCTCCCTCTGAAGCTTAGCAGGGCCCAGAGGTGATGAGCCCGAAACTGCCCAATGACACAAACGTGACCCTCGCTGCTAGGCAAGGTGGAGGGTTCCCTGGGTCAACAGCCTCTACCGGGACAGGAGACTGGGCACTCGGAGCACTTCCTAGCATCCTGCTAGCACAGGGACCAGCTGGGATGGCACCTGAAATAACAGAAGGAGTCATCGATTTGCACGTGTGTGGTAAAAACCGGTAACGTAACACTACCATCTTAACCACTGGTAAGTGCACAGTTCAGGGGCATTAAGAGCATTCACGCTGCGGTGCCACCGTCACCACCGTCCTTCTCCAGAAGTCTTCATCTTCCCAACCTGAGACTGTGTCCCCATTAAGCACACTCCCCATCTCTCCCAACTCAGTCCCCGGCAACCACCATCCCACTCTCGGTCCCTGTGAGTCTGACTGCTGTAGATGCTTCGTAGGTGGAGCCACGCAGGATCCTCTTCCAGTGGTTTGGCTTATCTCACTGATCATGCCCTCAAGGTTCATCCATGTTGGAGGTGTTAGCATTTCCTTCCTTTTTTTTTTATTTTATTTTTTTTTTTAATTTTTTTTTTCCAACGTTTATTTATTTTTGGGACAGAGAGAGACAGAGCATGAACGGGGGAGGGGCAGAGAGAGAGGGAGACACAGAACCAGAAACAGGCTCCAGGCTCTGAGCCATCAGCCCAGAGCCTGACGCGGGGCTCGAACTCACGGACCGCGAGATCGTGACCTGGCTGAAGTCGGACGCTTAACCGACTGCGCCACCCAGGCGCCCCAGCATTTCCTTCCTTTTTAAGACTCAGTAATACTCCACGGTATAGACTCGATTTTGTTTACTTACTCATCCACCAATGGACTCTTGAACTGCTTCTACCTTTTGGCTACTGCGAATCATGCCGCTATAAACAGGGGCGTGTGAACATCTCTCTGAGATGCTGCTTTCTTTCCATGATTTTGGATATATGTCCCTCCAAGTGAAACTGCTGGGTTGTATGGTAACTCTTGTAATTTTTTGAGAAACAATGATTGCTTTTAAGGTTTTGCTGTTGATCAATGTACCGCTGGGCAGTGCACTTAAATTAAAAATAGCTATTAGCTCTGCACCACCAATGAAAGCTGTTGGTGGGGGTGAGGAGCTCTTTCCAAACATCTAGCTACAGGAGTGAACATTCTCCCATGACGACTTAGGAGGTTCACATAAAATGTTTCAAGGAGTCGTATTTGTTGAATGGGTGTACAAAATTAAAAAAAAAAAAAAGTTTTATTTGTTAATTGTGGAGGGCTATATGCATAATCCTCATCCCAAAATACGGAAACCAGTACAACTTTAGGTAAGTTAATATTCTCTGCATACTCAGTCTAATAAGTACTTGGAGAATATGCATTGAAATGTGAGACCTAAATGTCCTGGGTAAAAACCATATAAAAAGAATGTTAACAAAAAGCATGTATTTATTATATTTACATAAGGGGCACCTGGGTGGCTCAGTCGATTCAGCGTCCGACTTTGGCTCAGGCCATGATCTCACAGTTCATGGGTTTGAGCCCCGCGTCAGGCTCTGTGCTGACAGTTTGGAGCCTGGAGCCTGCTTCAGATTCTGTGTCTCCTCTCTCTCTCTTTCCCTCCCCTGCTCATGCTCGCTCACGCTCTCTCTCTCTCTCTCTCAAAAATAAACATTTTAAAAAATGTATAATGACAAAGATACAAAGAATACTCTCGAATCTTGTCAATTCTGACTTTTTTATAGTAATTGTAAAGGAGCTGTTTGTGTGCTTTGTAATGTTTCAGTTTCTTTATAAAGTAGGTTAAACTACTACTCCCAAAAAGAACAAGCAGCTTTGTGAAAAAATGAATTAGAATAGCACTAAAACTAAACCCATCGCCTGAACCATTTAGAAGACAACAAAAGGTGAGCATCCAGAAGCTTTTACCATTCCAGGAAAAACAATAATGTCTAATAAAACTTCCAGGAATAGACGGGGCAGAGAGGGAGAAAGAGAAAACCCCAAGCAGGCTCCACACTGTCAGCACAGAGCCTGACGGGGGGCTCGAACCCACAATCCGCAAGATCATGACCTGAGCCAAAAACCAAGGGACAGACACTTAATCGACTGAGCCACCCAGGCGCCCTGAGATAGTTTTATAATTACGAGAATTGTGGTATTTCAAGTAGATATGCTCCCTGCCACATATTTGTTGTTTGATCAGGAAGAGTGTTTTGATTGTTATTTAGAAAAAATATCAAGAGCTTAGGGACCCAAAAGAGCCACCACAGAGTGTCTCAGAAAACTACAACTCTGACTGCAGACTTGTCTCCTCACACAGAGACACTAGACCATAGCGCTTCTCAAACGCTGTCCGCACAAGAATCACCTGTCACATCAGTTAGCCTGAGCCAGACTAAAAGGAGCAGTTCTCATGTTGTAATCACCGAGGGTCATAAACATTATGACTGATAACGATGAGATAAAACAAAACGTAAATGCAATAAAATAATCAGGAATGTCATCGAGTACGTCGTCTTCTTAGTTCTCATGCCTCCATTCAAAGGTTTATCGGGCTAAATAACCACGGTCACATGTCTGCTCTCACTACCAAGGAGGCCTAGAGGACAGTGACCGAACTCTCCCTCCGGATCCATGGATCCATGTGGGAATTCGTCTTCCAATAGCAGGTGTTCAACAAAGAAGCACCCTTGATGTTCGGAGAAAATGTGGGCTTGGGACAAAAAAGCAAATGGGATTTCAGTTTTCCTCACGTGGAGGGAAAGCTCTAGGAGGTCCCAGCTTCTTTGGGGGAGGGTTAAAATATTAATTTTAGACTTAATCAAATTACATACGCATATTGTAACTTCCAGTGTCATCGTACCAAAAACTAAGAACAGTATCTAAAATCCAAACTAGTAGGTGCGAAAAACTGAACCAACCACCACCCCCACCCCCCCAAAAAAAACCCACCAAGAATCCAGAAGAAGGCTAGCAGAAAAGCAAAACAGAAAAATTGAAACAAGTAGGTAGGAAAAATAATACAAAATAGGTACATAAAAATTCCAACTATCTCATAAATGCAATAAACATAAACAGACCACATGTTCCATGGTAAGTGATCAAGACTGACAGATTAACAAAATTTTAACGACAAGCTATTTTCAGGTGATGTAAACCAAAGGACTTAGACACACCAGGCAAATTCTAACCAAAAAAGGCTGGGATAACTATATTAATATCAGTAAAGCACAGACTTAATCCTCAGTAATGCTTTTAATCTTATGAAGAGTCCCTTCATAATAATGAAAGCTTAAAATTACAAGACATTGCATCAATTCTAAATTTGTATCCTTGGGCGCCTGGGTGGCGCAGTCGGTTAAGCGTCCGACTTCAGCCAGGTCACGATCTCGCGGTCCGTGAGTTCGAGCCCCGCGTCAGGCTCTGGGCTGATGGCTCAGAGCCTGGAGCCTGTTTCCGATTCTGTGTCTCCCTCTCTCTCTGCCCCTCCCCCGTTCATGCTCTGTCTCTCTCTGTCCCAAAAAAAAATAAACGTCGAAAAAAAAAAAATTAAAAAAAAAAAAAAAATTTGTATCCTTGACACAACATTCAAAGCAAATACAACTAGAATTATAAGGAAAATCTGTAATCAGAGCAGATTCTACTATGCCTCTTAATAACTGATAGAAAACAGACTCAGACTCCTCTATCAATGCCCTCCCAAATCAGAAGGATGCAGGAGATTTGAACCACCTCAGATGCTTGACCCAGAAGACCTATACAGATACACTTGCACAGAATGTACCAGAATATACATCCTCCCCCTCCCAGCACCTACAGAGAATATAAAACACACTGATCCTAGAGCGAAGCTGAACACAGCCTGGAACAGAGCTGACGTACAAGATCAGTGAGAACCACTCTGCTCTCAGCAGTCGCTGAGATTGGGGGCTACTCTGATATAATCCAATGAAAGCTAATATATCGAGTTTATTAATTTTTCTTTGTAATTAACTACCACTGCCAACAAGAGGCATATTCACATCACACTTTGGAATTAGAACAAAAGTCCACAATGGTCACTGCCCGTTTTGATTTTGCCGGCTGAAAATACTGTCTGAACTCCCACCTTTCCGTGCACGATCTTAACGTTTTCACGTTCTGAAAACTGAGACGATGCAAAGAAATCAATCAAAACCCAGTTTTTTAAAAAAACATGTTTACAGGAACTTTTCACATAAAAATTAGTATTCATAAAAACCGTGTTTGTGCAGCTTTTATGCACAAACTGCACACACACAGTTTTTCCAACTTATAAATCTCAGTAATACTGTCATGCGAAGAAGTGAGGCTATTAATTTTGGGTTAAAAAAATCATCTATTTAAAAATCTAAACGGCACGTACATTCACTATTTTAAAAGCATGACAGGTCACGGGTACTCTACAGGTACGACGATTACCTCACCGGGGAAAAGTGTTTCAAACTGCCTAGCTGAGGTCAAGACCTCAAGCTCTCGGGAAGGGGATGCTGGAGATCCAAACTCTGGCTCCGGCATATCCTTGAAGAATAACATTTTCTCAATCTCCGTGAGCCTTAATCATATAGAAAGTGTGGACAAATATGATTAGATGAAATGCATGTGAACAGCTCAGCATAGGGATGGAGTGTAAAAACAACACTGACGTAAGTGTCCGTCAGGACTGTTTTCAAAAGGTAATGACTTAGCACATTGTAAAGTTTTTAAAACGGGGGACAGAAGTGAAAGCAGTCCCTCATCCGGAATTTCTATCTGTCAAAAACACTTGGGTGTCACGTTTTGAACGCTTAACCTTGCATTTCCACTAAAAACTTACCAGGTCACAGAACTCAAACACCAGGAGATAGGGAATTGCTTCTACACATTGTCCAACACACTGAAGAATATTTGGATGCTGAAGAACACTGGGGAAAAGAAAAGTCACGTGTCATTCATCAGGGAGCACACGAGTACACCTGTTCAGACAGTAATCTAAATTTTAACATTCATCACAATTTAAATACGATACACTGCAAAGTCATTTTAAACACCTGGTCCTCAACAGACCCCGGACTATGTTTACAAAACACATCTTAAGGTACTTACTAGTAAGGCTCGCCATTTTTCAAAAAAGTATCTTGTTCCTTTGGGCTCGCGCTCGCTTTTAACTCCTTCACTATTACTCTCGCTACACTAGTGCCTGTGTAAATCTCTCCAAGGAGGACCTAAAACAAAGAACAGGTTTTCATCTCACTTCCATCGAAATGGGAAAGAAGCAGGTCTCATTCATCAGGAAATGGAATCCAGGAAAATAAATTAAGGAACAATCAGAAGGTCCTCTATTATGAAAATACTACCTCAGAAAAAGCTTGTGAAATGAAAATGTTTTCCTTGTTTTAAACTGCTTACTGGATATGGACAGCATTCATCTATGTATCCGTGTTTCTTTTCTATTTATTTTAAAAACGTACTATACTTTCACAAATATTACCGGTGACATCACAGAAGAGTTATTTACAAGTTCAGTTCAAACAGAACTCAAATGTTTCTCAAAACACTTCACCTGGGTTTTGTTATTTCGTCTCCTTCACGTAAGAGAAAGTAAAGGAACAAACAGCAGCGTACAAACATATCATCACAGCATTGTGACTTTAAAAATCTACGGCATCGCAATTATTCCAGACCTTTATCTTATACCGAAACCTCAGTTAAAACACAAGGAAAAAATATGCCACCGAAAGCAACAGAATACAAAATGAATGAAAACGAGCAAACGAGCACAAGACGAGCAAAATACCAAATACAACACTGGGCAATACAGAGGTGTTCCAAAAATACAATATTTAAGATGAAAATGACGATGAAGTGAAAGTTTTCATTTAATTCAAGAATGGCCAAAACTAAAAGCCTTCTTTTTGAAATAGTTTTTAATATTTTATCGAGTAGATTAACTTTAATGCCCTGGAAATTGAGAATAAGTGAACAGCATGTATTGTGTTTATTAAAGAATGTAAGGGCAGAAAAAGAAACAGACAAGAAATTCTGATAACCTTGTCATATTCCTGGTTTCAAATAACTAGCCTGCACATCTACCATAAGCCTAACACTGATCAGATATCAATTCCAGAAAAGATCAGGATAATCTCACTCTCTCTACCACCGCTGCCATCATCCTTGGTCTTCAATGTCAGCAGGGACAATTCAGTCAACATCTTGACCTCTTAGGTTTTCTACCTCACTTCCAATACTCTTTTCTATGACCCAATCTTGGCAAAAAACTCCCACAGGTCTAGACCTAGCTAATAATTGGATCATGTCCCAAACCCTGAATTTTAAATGTTTTTATTTTTGGGAAAGAGAGAGAGACAGAGAAAGAGAAAGAGAAAGAGAAAGAGAGAGAGACAGCGAGAGAACGAACACAAGTGAGGGAGGGGCAGAGAGGGAGAGGGACATAGGATCCAAAGCAGGCTCCATGCTGTAAGCACAGAGCCCAACATGGGGCTTGAACTCATGACCCGTGAGATCATGACCTGAGCTGAAGGCAGACACAATTGACTAAGCCACCCAGATGCCCCCCTAACCTTGAATTTTAACTTCTCCTTCTCTACCAGTCCTCTGATTTCCAGCTCACTTCAACCGTCTAACCCAAGAAGTGCACAACCTGGCCTCCAGATCCATTCACGACAGCAGCCCTCTACCACCTGCCCTACCCCAGGGCCCCCTCCCCTCCCTGGCAGCTTAGGGCCCATGATCCTCCACTACCACCACCCCCTTCTCACCACTCTTGCTGAGGCCTAGGAGCTCAGCCAAACCCCGGTGCCGCTAACACTCAACTACCTGCCTACAGTAACACCGAATGTAGACAAAACACGCGCACACACGACCACGGCGACCGGCCTCGTTTCAAATCTGTGAGGGTCCTCAGCATTCCCATCCTCCCGCTGCGTTCCCTACCGGATGGATTTCCCGGGAGGACTCTTTCACACCCTCTCCACCTGTTCAAACCCCCAACGTGTCTTTTGACTCCTCCCTTTCAAACTGGCCTCTGTTCATTGAATAAAGTAACCAGAAGTGGACTTCCCCATTTTATACCAGCACCTGTACCCACACGCTGCTCTTATTCCCGTTTCAAGAGAACTCTGACAGCATCCCCCCTTGCCCTCTCCTGCACTATCACTTCCTCCCCTACTGCATAAAGTGGCTAAAATAGCTATATAAAAACAGCCTATAAAAAGCAAAGCAAACCAAAACAACCTTCCCTTGGCCCTGGGACGGCCCCAAACGGCT